AGTCTTCAAATAAATTTCGGACAAAACCGGAGCAATCGCCGAGCCGATGCACACACCCTCTTTTTGCACGTACTCGCATCCCTCATACCCCACCGTGGTCGAACTCAAGAACCTTTTCAACGATTCAACGAAACTTCCTGCATCAATGCCTGTCGCTGACTGAAATCTAACTAAAGTTCTCTTTTAACCATTCCCTTACGCTAAGAAGCAGTTTTGACTGGTTTAATGAGTAGTACAGGTCATTTATGTCCAACGAACACATTTTTCACGGCCTGCCATGAAAGCCATTCAACACCTCTACCAACTCATCCGAATTTTTCAGTACCATTGGGTTCACTAATTCCACGGCTGTCAAACATTTTTTGCAAAAACTTAGACAATGCACCCTGCCAAGTTCCCAACTCATTCACGACGATCCTTAATGGAAAGCCTACCTTGTGATCCTTTAGGAACAACTTCACTGAAAGCGAACTCTGCGCCCTCTCTCTGAGAGACTTCATTATTTCAAAAAATTCGCAGTCTTTCAGTATAATCATTACTTCTTTTTTCAAGTTCTTCACGTTCAGATGATTGATTTTGAATAAACCATCAAACGCCTCTTGCACCTTCTGTAATTCACAGGTCGTTTTTTTTTTATATATATAAAATTGCAAAGCGTAGCTCTTTCTGTAAAAAAATGAGGCAAAGAAACTTGCCAGGGTCTACGGCAGGCAGCAACGCAGATGACAGGGGTCCAGTAGCGGGGAGGGGGGGGGGGGGGGGGGGGGGGTTTGGCGTTCGTATTGATAGATGGCGCTACCTCCTTATCGCGACGGCTCGCGATCACCATGGTTTATTAAAATAAATATAATCTTTTTGAAATGTACCTTCGGTTACAAAATAAATTCGAACAATAAAAGCAAAACTTAAAGTAAAAAAACGCGTCTCCATAACGGTGGCGCTTTTGCTACCAACAAATTTCGTCTGCGTGTCGTCTGCTATCTTTCGCTGGTCGGCTGCACCTTCAGACGTTGCCCCCGACGCCATCTATCAATAATAACGCCAAACACACCTCGCTACTGGACTTCGTCGTCTGGGTCGCCGTTCGCCGTAGACTCTGGCAAGTTTCTTGGCCCTATTTTTTTACTAAAAGAGAACTACGCTTTGTAATTTTAAAGAAAAAACCGACCTGTTGAATACACCTTTGACGAAAAGTTTAGATGGCTATGTTCAGGCGTCGATTTTTACGGTCCATTTTAGGCCTAGCCTGATGACTTAAATCACCCTATATATATAGGTACCTTTCACGTAGTAGCCGGCACACCATTGCCAAATATTCACGTTTCATGATTTATTCAGGAAATTACGCTTTTATTTTGAAGCTCTTCTAATCGCCAAATAAACAGTGCTAACATTTCATCTAGTCCATTTACGTCAGAATGAAATATGGCAGCAGTAACGCGAAAACGGCCGTCCTGCATCGGAACGATCGCTGCAGCTTGCACCCTGCATTGAAATCCACACCGCCTGCATGGGGCGCGACTGCAGCTTTCAATGCACTACTGCTCTAAAATGTAGAATCCAGTTCTCAAAAATAGGAACAAATTTTTCACTTCATCAGATAGACATTTAATTGATGACGATTACCTCGAATAAATATTGAAGTTAAGGTGGGCTTTTCTCCGTGTCTGCCAAAAGAAGTGAGCTTTTCACCGTGCCCACGCAAAATGTGGGTGAGCTGCGGCAAGGCCATACCAATGACCACTCGCTGACATGACGTTATGCAAGCCATGTATGCGGCGACACCAATGAAGCGCTCAGGTCAGCGTTTCCGCATGTCCACCCTCGGATATGAATCCTGATGATATGTGTATTTCTATAATTTCATTTATAACGTTTAAAGCATTAGAAAGTAAGGCGCATAAGGAAGTTATGAGGAGGGTTCAAATGACATGCTCAATATTGCTTAGTGAGTTGTCCCGTTGCCCTTACCACACCCTCGCACCCTCACACGTCGCCTAAAACAGTATGACGAAAACGGTAGTCGTTGGAAGTCAAAACACAAGACCAGTTCTCATAACTTAGCAATATATGTCCCGATAGAATTAAAAAAAAAAAGTTAAAGTAACAGCAAAATAAACGTTGCAGTTCAGGTTATAAAGATCGATTCACACACTTGTGCCGTACTCGACCGACTGCGAGGGTTGCTATGGCAACAACTCCGTTAGCTCCAACAAAACTGGGTAAAAACGGGGTTTGCTGGAGCCGACGCAGCTGTTGCTATAGCAACCCTCGTACTCAGTTGGACTCAACGCGAGTGTGGAAGTCGCCCTCAAGGCAGAGTTAGCAAACCACGAATGTGAAGACCGACCATGCTTTGATTAGCGGAACCTATAAAGGTAGGCCACGACCAGTGAATTCGCGCTATAGTCCAATTAGTAGTATTTCGGTTTCGTAAATGCTAGTGAATCTATACTCGTTGTCACATCAAGAAAAACTGATGAATAGAAAGCGCCACAGGACAACGGACACAGAAGGAGACACAGACACAGCGCTACTTACAACTGAACTTCATTTCCCTGCAGCTCGGTATATATTACCGGTAACAACACAAACAAGTTAGGAAGATATAAAATTCACATCGTAGAAATCTTTAAAAAAAACATAAAGGATAAAAATTCCTGCATGACTCATCGGCCCCCACCCGAAACTAGTCATGCTTGTTCAAGAAACTGCAATTCTTTTCGGATAAAGGTAAAAAGAGGGTGCGCTCACACATTGCAGCCCTAATCTGGAAATTTCTCGAGCCTCGAGTATTTTCCTCGTGGTTTTGTTTCTGTTTTTGTTTACTACTGCACAATCTGTGAAAATCAGAGTACAACCACAATCCCGGCGATGCACACCGAGGTGTCCTGATATGACGGCATCAAGGGTGTAACGGTGTTCCCTCAATCTTTCATTGTGGCAGCGATCAGTCTGCCCCACATAATGACGCCCGCACGATAATGGCACGGAGTACATAACCTCCTGAAAACATTCAACAAAGCAAGTTTTGTGCTTTTTCGTGCAGCCGGGTCTGCTTATGATGTTCGAGGTAGAGTTTACCTTTTTACATAAACTAGTGAACTTGACAGGTGCTGAAAAAACAACGTTAACCCCTGCGTGCAAGCCCACTCTTTTCAGGTTATGGGACACTTTATGTAGGTATGGTATTACCACTGGTTTCTCTTTTTTCTTTCCCTGTACTCCCGTTCCCTGCTATTTTTATTCCTTAACGTCTTGAGAGTGTTATTCTCTGCTACGGCTGATAGAAGGGAGACTGGATACACCGCGGGCTTGAGTCTTGACATCTGATTTTTAAAACTTTCGTTCATCTTGTGAGTTCTTTAGAGCGTTACCGAAGCAGAGATTGATTATCTCCCTTTTCACAAGCCTTGGGTGCGCCGACGCGAATGGCAGGATCGGCTTGTTCCCCCTTGGTTCATGAATCCAACATACAGGCCCCGGTCGGAAGTCAAGCCTCAGGTCTAAAAACCTAGAATAAAAATAGGCAGGGAACGGTAGTACAGAGAAAGAAAAAAGAGAAACCAGTGGTCATACCATACCTACATAAAGTGTCCCATAACCTGAAAAGAGTGGGCATGCACACAGGGGTTAACGTTGTTTTTTCAGCACCCGTCAAGTTGGCTAGTTTATGTAAAAAGGTAAACTCTACCTCGAACATCATACCCGGCTGCACGAAAAAGCACAGAACTTGCTTTGTTGAGTGTACAGAAGAGGCTGTATACTCCGTGCCATTATTGTGCGGGCGTCATTATGTGGAGCAGACTGGTCGCTGCCTAAATGAAAGATTGAGGGAACACCGTTACACCCTTGATGCCGTCATATCAGGACCTCTGTGTGCATTGCCGGGATTATGGTTGCACTCCGAATTTCACAGATTGTACAGTAATAAACAAAAACAGAAACAAAACCACAAGGGAAATACTCGAGGCTCGAAAAATTGCGAGATTAGGGCTGTAATATGTCAGGGCACCCTCTTTTTACCTTTATCCAAAAAATAATTGCAGTTTCTTGACCAAGCATGAGTTTTGGGTGGGTGCCGTTGAGTGATGCAGGAATTTTAGCCTTTTTATGGTTTTTTTTTTAAAGATTTTTACGATGTGTATTTTATATCTTCTTAACTTGTTTGTGCGTTTGCCGGCAATATATACCGAGCTGCAGCGGAAATAAAATTCAGTTGTAAGTAGCGCTTTGTCTGTGTCTCCTTCTGTGTCCGTTATCCTGTCGCGCTTTTTAATCATTATGAATCACCAACTGGCCCAACTTTCTACTCTCGTAAGAAAAACTGACGTTGTGCGCGTAATATTCATACTCTGTGCGAAGTAGTTCTTACAAGATCTGGTTTTCAAAGAAAGAAGCGATGATATTGACTTTTGACGCGTGTACGTGTTGATACAATAACGTGGAGTTTGTACCGTTCACAAAAAAACGGGGCATTTTTTTTTTGTTACTGCTGTTCTTGAGGTGAATATGAGAATAACAAAAAATCTTATATTACACGCCACAGATATACTGACTCATTCACAGCTAACATTTCTGCGGCTGAGTCATAAAAGACTCACGTGTCAATGAGCACCAAAATAAAGACAAAATATTTCAGCTTATTACCTCTATCCCTAACAGAAATATTGCGCGTAGAGCAAGTTATATAGTTGCCACCTGGCATAGCCTCAGTGTATCGTCACGTGACCAACCTCCACCAAATTTCGCGAATGACGTCACTTCCGTGTCGTTATTTCTAATGTTGGTATTTTTCTACCCACACAGGCCTATACCGATGCGCGTTTTCAAAAATTGATAAAACTGGAATATAAGATACCATTAAAGAAATACAAACTGCGAATATGCTTTTTTCTACAGTATATAAACCGCATTTTACAAATGTTTTGCGAGTGCACTTAATGATCCCTGTGATATGATGCTTTTTTCAGGCTCGGAGTCGGCGCGGACAGCGAGCCATGCGTACGATGCATGGCTACCTGCTCAGTCTGGTCATCGCCCTGGTGTATACCTTCTCCACGGTCCGTGCGCAGAGGTTCCGCTCACCCTGGCTACATGGTGGGTCGTCACATTAAGCTTTATGCGCACGCAACGCTATACACCGCATTGTTCAAACCTCCATCATGCTTTAAAATGTTAACAAAAACAAACAAACAAGGATATATATAAAAGTTTAAAGCTCCTATTCGCGACTCCAGCAAACTATAGGGGGCGCGCTGGTCAGGCAAAATGACGGACGAAAGGAGGTCATCTTCATCGTTCAGCACGCGGACCACCATAAATTTCTTGCACTGCAGCGTAAAATTTTTATTACGTATAAAAGCAAAGTGGTTTTTCGACGGTAAGAACCTTCTTCTAGTCAGTGCGTAGGAATGACAAAGCGGAAACATACAAATAATTACTGAAAACGATGTTTGTTTCTATGCTGCCTACAAGAACCAAACACCGACAGCAGACGACAGAGTCAAAACGACCTCCTTTCTTGAGCTTCTCAGCGTTGCCGCCACGCGGCGTCGATTTCGCTGGAATTGGCAATATTGGAAACCTTTCACAGCAATGGTTAAACTGCGATGACGTAACGAAAACGGTTAATGTCACACCTTTCAAATGTAACGAACTATAATAGCCAGAGTCTAAAACAAAAAACAACAAGAAAAACAACATCCGAGTTTAATTTTTTGCAGAACTTCGAGGCAGCCAAGCACGGCGAAGAGCAGACGAAGCTCGGAATGCATTTGAAAAATAGGATGTGCACATAGACAAGGAACCTTACGTTTCACATGCTTATTATCGATAATCACATCGCTTTTTTCAGGCCTGACTATATTCTGAGCATAGTCATGTACTGGAATTCTTTCTATTGTTGGCAGTGATTGGATGTAATTTCCGTGTTCTGCGGAAGTAACTCGCGGAGATTTATATAGAGCGCAGTTACTAAGCCTTAAATATAACTACAGGGTGTCACAAAAGAAAATTTACACGGTCTTTTTTACCGCAAAAATAAACTAGGCATAGCCGAACGCTCATTCTCCGCCCACAGGTAGAGCTAGAGGTCACAACCAGATGCCAAAGTTTCAGCCCGATCCGATAACTTAATCAAAAGTTATAAGTGATTCTCTGAAAATTTCAATGGGAAAATGGCGACCGACGGAGTTTTCAAACACATGGGGCTCTATGGCACCAGAAACCGAAAACGGGCAAAAATGGGCTCCATTTTCCTATCGAAATTTTCAGAAAATCACTTATAACTTTAGATTAGGTTATTGGATCGGGCTGAAACTTTGGCGACTGCTTGTGACCTCTAGCTCTACCTTTGGGCGGAGAATGAGCGTTCGGCGATGCCTAGTTTATTTTTGCGGTAAAAAAGACCGTGTGAATTTTCTTTTGTGACACCCTGTATATATGTATCGTTAACAATTACTGGTTACATTTGAAATGAGTTAGCCGATCGCCATGTCAAACGCAATATCAATTCTGGTTTTGTACAACAAATCTCACTACATGTATTACGAAATTTGCCGTGCAAGTTCTTCCCAGTTCAATTTAACCAATCCCATCTCTACCTGCCCTCTTCTGTTCTATTTTTAAGAACGTTATTTGATTTTTAACTTTCTCTCTAAATCTCCTTCATATCCTTCCAATCTTCGGTAAGAAACACTTACACCCCCCCCCCCCCTCCCTTTCCCACAACATAATTGTTCCATCATCGATCCTTTCAGCTCGTCTGGATCACCAGAACAAAGTGGTTGATCCCTCTTGCCACAATAATAAATATTTTAACTCCTTCGTTACAGGAATCACGAAAGAATGGAATCGGTTACCTGCATCTCTTACATCAATTTTTGATAGTGCTCTTTTTCAGTCAATTGTTAGTGACCATGTTTTTCCGACGGTTTAACTGCTGTTTTTCTGTTGTTTCATGTTGTTTGTTTCTCTTATATTTTTCACCACTCCCCTTCGCAATTCCCTAGGGCCCTGAGGGTAAAATAAATAAATAAAAAAACAAATAATTGAGCTTGCTGCTTTAAAACAACAACATAACCCGCAATGTCCTTACGTCGCTACAAGGTGTTCAAACAATTGTGTTTGTTGCTCAACTGGAACGATTCGCTCGGCAATACCTTGGACACGTAGGATTGTGCGTTAAATAAACAAAGGAAGCCTCTACCGGAAGAAAGACATTCAATCGAAGCGTCAGAAACTGACATTGTGGTGTTGGCGACACAGTTGCCAAGAAAAAAACACACAAAAAGGTTGAAACACACAGTGTCATCACACTCATGGACGTTTCTACACTTTAACTGTCTTTACTTCATTTGTTCCTCATGTTACTGTTCTCAGAGTAATGGTTGCTTAGACTACTTCGGTGATTGGATGAAGACTGAGTGCCGTTATCTACTGGATAGGCGATTCCTAGATCCGTAACATCCGAATTGTTTTGGCTCGAAGAAAGTATCTTATATTTATATCTAATCTTGGTTCCCCGGAAATCAGACCTAGGCCGTAATCACCGTCGAATGTGCTCCGCTTCCGCTTAAAAAAGACAAAACAAAAAATACCAAGATCGATCTTTTTTTTTTTCTTTTTTTTTTTTTTTTGTAAAGTGCCGGAAATAACGGTTTGTATGGTACGCGTGGGAATCGGAAAATCGAACTTTTGTCTCCGATGAAACATTCGAGGATTTACAATCCACCAAAATTGGGCACGCGGAACTTGAGTCCAATTACGTGAAGGAAGTCTTTTTTCTTTCTTCCTCAATTTTGTGCGTCGCCGTAGTGTATCGTGCACGCCCCAACGAGCCCCACATGCGTGCTCAATCATGTTTATAATGTTTACATAGACACTTATGACGGAATTTTTAAAACTTTTAGGTCGTAAAGAGAACGTATAGACTCTAGAGTATGTTGCCGCCATAAAATTGCGTTAAGAAATAAATACTTACCTTGATATTTGCATATAGTGCATAGATGAATACATTGTACGTGTTAGCTTCTTTGACGTTTGAAGCGCTTCCAGTCTTTTAAGTGTGTATTGTTGTTTTCGAACATTTAGCGATTTTAAAACACTTTCATGTGTATGCGGAGAGCCAGTCGTCTGCTTCTTGCTCAGGAGTTGTGGTGATGTCAGAACGCCGCCGCCGAGCTTTGATTGGCTTTGATTGAAAGGATGGCGGATATACTTTAATGCTAGATGCCTTGATACCTACCCACTATTCTTTTTCAATCAGCCAATAAGAGCTCGGCTTTCTGACATCATCACCACTCCTGTGCAAGCAGCAGATGAACTTGCCCACCGCATAGCTCTCTTTCAACTTTTGGGACCCTGATTTGTTTTGAGACGTACAGACACACAACGGATTCTTCGTCTTACTTCCTCACTAAATGTAGCTGAAAAACTGTCTCGCACAGTTTTCGTTACTGTCGCGCTTCACATTCGCTATCAACTCAAAAGCAAGCATGCAAAGCGTGGCTGATTATCGTCTAAAACCACACTACCGCTGTCTGGGGAGTGATATTGAGATGCTGGTGACTCAATTTCTTCCTTTCTTTATTGGTGTCAGTGACTTTTTACGCGTAAGGGTCAGCGGCATGGCGCCTCACTAATGGTACTCTCTATGCGGAAAAGTAATGACATCTTTTGTAGAATGCCGCCTGCTATCTTGGAGTGATCCGGGCGGCACCACCGTCAACGCGCGAGTGGGAAAAAGAAGAAAATAAAAATAAACAAAGTGTGCACGGGGGAGGAGGGAAGAGGAGGAATGTCATCTGATGTCAAAGCGCAGCGGATGCACGCCTGGAGTCCATGTCGCCAATCAAGTAACGCTGAAAGGGCAATCTCACGTCTTTCATCGTCTTTCTTGGAGTGCATTCATCGCGGTTCATCGAATTGAATGCAGAGGATACACCGTGACAGTTCGCTTTTAGTACGTCTATCTCTTTATGTATTTGCTTGTCTTTGAGCCTCTGACTGCGCTCTGACTCAAGTTGAAACCGGGTATAGGAAGGGTGTCTGCTATTTTGGAACAATCCAGGTGGAGCTACCGTCGACGCGCGAGTACGGAAGGGCAAACAATAAAGATTAAAGTGTGCGCGCACCGCAGGCAAAGGGAGAAGATGTCGCTGCCTTCTTTAGGTAACTTCAGGGGACTTATGATTGACGGGTTCTTTATGCCCCGTACGGTTTAGCAGTGCAACGTATCAACCTCAGATACATAACTCGGGCCGTATACAGTGCTTCAAGTTTCCCATCGGTGGCAAGGGGCCTCCATCGTGGCCACCTCGGTCCGGGCCAAGCGGGGGGTTTAGAGGGACATATTTTGACAGACAGCTTGCCATTAAACAAATAAAATGCGCATGCATCCATACGGTGACACAGCGTTCGGCTGACACAGTCAAACGCTGCGTCAGAAACACGCCCGAAGAATTTATGTTGTACCCATGTGTTTAGTTCTGAACTTCGCCGCTAGGGGCACAACGGTTGGATCTACCCCCCAAAGGGGTCTCAGACCCCCGTTGAAATCTGTCGGGGGACTGGACTCCCCAAGACCTCCCTAACTTTAAGCACTGAGCGTAACTGTAGTGCACCTTTGGATCTTATTTTCTTTCACTGTTACTGTGTTTGCCCACAGACGTGGATCATCTGGAGGCGGCGGCCGGTTACCGGACCGCGAGGCTGCGCTGGCGCTACCCGCACAGCCCGGAGCCGCCGGCGTTTCGCGTCCAGGTCTGCGAACTCCTGCCCTGGCTCCCCAAGTCCGGACCCCGGTGTCGGAACCGGAGGCTGTCCCTACGCACGTCCGACTCCCCGACACCGGATGCCAGCCACGAGGGCTCTTCGCCGAACCTGGACATGCTCCGGAGGTCAGTCTCCATGAGCAATAGAAGAAGTACGCTAATGACACGCGTCTTCGACTAGCGTGTTGAACACCCTATACCACCCGTGCATCCCAAGTGGTCCGGCAGTTGGTAACAAATGACGTCTCAGGAGCCCGGCGTGTCATGTCGGATGTCACGATCCTGCCGGTCGGTCTCTGTGGTTTCTGTGCCATGGCGGCACGGCGTAGGTCTACGTCACAGCGTCCGCAGCAGTTGCTACTGTAACCGCCGCGCAACGTTAGTTTTCGTCGTCCATGTGTTTGGGACTTTAGTATCCTCGGCAAAAAGGTATAACCTGTTGTGGCGTCGTCCCACCTCCCGGCTACCGAAGCTTCCGTGAGCTGTGAAGGAGGAAAGAGCGAGCTGCAGCAGAGCGAGAGTCTGCCTCACCCGCCCCTGCTCCTGCGCCCCCGCTAAGATCGCGACAGCTAGGTAACAGAATGATACTTATATGCTGTCTTGTACGCGTTACTGAAAACAAAATTTAACCGATTACAACTACAATTACTTTAATAAAAAACGTAACTTATAACAGTAATCAATTACTGCATCACAAATGTAATTAAATAATTACCAGAATGTAAGTGATTAATTTTCACCATATTTTTTAACTTTTTATTACGATATCATAAATGCATACATTTGTTCGAAGTGGTTACATTTATGTTACATTTTAAGCATGTTATATTTTACACGTACGTTCAAAGTGGTTACTAAATGAGCTTAGTGCAGACCACAGTCGTCTATTACGAGGCAAACCCGGATCCTAACAACCATTACACATGAAACGAGGCACTCTCGACAGCTCGACTGTCAAAACGTCACTGAGCGCGTTGACATTGTAATCCTTCTGGTATCTTGGCATTCTTTCTTTTTAGTTGTTCAGGGGTAAAAGAAAAAAAGTGTCAAACGTCGGTGCAACGTAGGCGAGTGACATACGAACAGAACAGAGCGAGTTTTTTTACCGTAGAAAGAAAAAAAAAGAACTCAACTAATTCATTTTAACTATTTTGAAACATATAATTGTCTACTTTTAATTGATTACAGAAACATAGTAACTAAATTACAGCGAACGTTATCCGCACAAAAACGTAATTGAAGCGTTAAGAAGTAACAATAACATGTAATTGTTTTCGAGTAATGGGTTAGTTGTAACTCGTTGCGTACAAGTCTTCTTCTGTGGCGTCATCAGGCGGAAACTGAAGGACCACATCAGAAAACGCGTTGAACGCACCACTTGGGGAGACACGTTCCAGACACTATAGCAGAAGTGTTGAACTTTGAAATAGTGGGGTAGCAAAGCACGCAGAAAACAAGATAAAAAAGAAACATCCACAAGAGACGAGGGCTTACTCGCACCTGATAGATTATTGAAACTTCGTATACATCTAAAGGGTCCCACCTCCGGTTCGCTCATGCGCAGTACAAACCCACGGCTATAACATCAGATAGGAGCTTATATCCCCTTTCCTTTATACACTTTGCCGAAGAAACCGTGATAATCACTTCACTACATTCTCAAGTTCTTGTTCTTAAGAAAGAAGTAAACTCAGATTCTAGAAACATGAACGATGGATGGTGAGTTTACATTTATTTCAGCAACTAGGTTTGGCGTTTGGCTGAACGTTTTTTACTATGAAGGAGATAAAAGGTCTTGTCAAGGATTAGGGTGACCGGTGTGTACTTCGGAGGACAGAACCGGAGGCGGAAGTTGTTCCTGGAGTATGAGGCTTGAATTAACTATTAAACTATTAGTTGCGCGTAAGCCCCTGCCGGGTGCCTGATTTTTTTTTTTTTTTTTGTCCTTGTTTATTATCGCGTTTCCTTTTTCTTTGCGCACGATGAATTTTACGCGACCCGAGGAATTTTGTTTTATGTAGTTAACAAACTGTCTGTTGACGAACGCGCGAGCGCTTTCCCCCATCAGGCTCGAAAACGTTACTTTGCGAAGAAATTTCGCGAGAAGCATGACATAAGAGGCGGCGCGTTCGTCCGCGCATTAGTTCGCTGCAGCTTCGCCAAGTTCAGCTATGGAAATCGGTATGCTGAGCGCGAATTCGTCTGCTTCTTTCACGAGGATTTCGATGACGTCAGAACTACGCCGAGCTCTCATTGTCTGATTGAATAAAATAGTGGGTAGACCTCGAGGCATCTAGAATTGAGGTCTACCCACTATACTTTCAATCTAAGCCAATCAAAGCTCGGCATCGTTCTGACTTCACCGCGACTTCTACCCAAGAAGTAGACAACTTGCTGTCCGCACTGAAAGAACCTACTAGTCAGATAGATGACCTAATGATGTAAATTCCGTAATTATACGGGCCAGTTCCGAGTCGGGATACGCTTTGAAGGTTGGTTATTCATATAAATTAAAACTAACTAAAAAAATGATTGAGTTTACTTTTTACTGTACACGAAGAAGACCAGCCTTGGCGGACGACCTAAGGATATCAGCAATAACGAAGCTCACAATACTATTAGGCCTTAACAATGCGATGTGCGCAAGGATAATATGTTCAATGAAACGTAGTGCTATTTTTTTCCCGGGAAGATCGTTTTTTTTTTGTATTGTCTACTCGTAGTCTGAGTTCTGTTCTTCGCCGGGATTCTTCAGTTAGTGTTGTGCAGAACGGCACTGCAAGGAACGACCTTACCAAAACTCATTCCTTTTGGGGGAAACAAAGTCAAGCCGCCGTTTCATCCTGTATTTGTACAAAAAGCAAGAAAAAAAAAAAAAACGGCAGGAGGAGTCTTATCTGTATATAGATAGACATTTAGACTTTTTTTTATTATCGACTGTTTTAGCTTCCGCCTTCAAGAGATGGGAAAATATGTCTGAAAGATTTAAAGGAAAAAGAAAAATCTGGAACAGATGAGATTGTGTGGCGATGCGACACGCAAGTTCAATCTGGATATTTTCTCTTGCTTGCCTTATCTTATAAAGTGATTATTGGGTAGAGTATTTCATAAATATACGCGACCGTAACGTTAAGGTAACGACACGTTTTTAATCTTAAATGTGTAACAGAAACGCGTTCCTTTCGAACCACTGGAAGTCGTAACAGGAACTCGTTCGATGATCGAGAAGAAATGAGGTACTACAGGTTTTACTTGAGCTAGTTCGTACATACTTGAATATGGTCAGCTGAACAATTACAAATTAGAAAAAACCGTGAGAGGAAATTTATACACACCGCTGACTATCAACTTGCTGCCTTTAATACTTCGTCTTCCTTTTTTTTTTCCTTTACTACAGCTAGTGATGACAGCCATTCGCCATGTCCGCGCGATGCCCCCATCAGGGTGCATTATTCAATTCCACACGCGAGCATCATGCCAATTCTACGGGACAGCATTGAGAAGCAAGGAGTGTCACCTTTTCAAAATGCGGACGGAGTGAACGTTGATTCCTTTTTGAAACTGTTAGGGTGCTACCTGACAGCTACAGTAGTGTCACATGAAGGCCAGGCATATATACAGAAAAGTGAAGTATGTATTGGTTCCCGGGTAGCTCCTCACCTCTGCGATGTATATTTGGCAGCGTGCGGAAGGAACATTGAAAGCAAACTAAAGGATACCAGAATCAAGGCCATCTTCCGATATGTCGATGACTTTTTTATTCTGTGCAACACTGAAGTGAATGAAGAAGAGGATGGGTGCAAAGCAAAAGCTATACAGTGCTTCCAAGAATGTTGCCCCGAATTGGATTTCACATATGAATTACCCGTTGAAAAATCCATCAGGTTCCTTGACCTGGTGCTTCAGTTTCAAGAAGGCCATGCGTGCTGGAGATATGAGCCGCGCTCGTGCCAAGGGTTTCTTCCATACAACTCGGGGCATTCGAAAATCATCAAAAGGAGTGTTGCCACAACTGCTCTTATTTCCACCTTAAAAAAATCATGTCACCATCAACTTGAACCAAGTTTTGAAACACAGATGAGGCGTCTACGTGAGTCTGGTTATCCGGAGTCTCTCCTGGTGACCGTCACGGAAACCATTTGCCAGAAGTTGAAACGCGAGCATGCAGGGAATGAGGCTTCATCGCAAGCTACAAATCGAAGAAACGTAGCTGTCATACCCTACATCCATGGTCTCACACACAACCTAAAAAAGATTGCCGAGAGGCATGATATTCGGGTTGTGTGCTCGGCACCAAACAAGGCCTACTCCCTGTGCCGGAGGACTAATCGAAAAACAAATCAAGAGAAGAAGCAATGCACAATTGCTCACAGGACACAATACAGCCCGTGCCAAAGCGGCGTTGTGTACAACATACCGCTTTCCTGCGGCAGGTGTTACATTGGGCAAACGGGATGGTGTGTGAACGATCGAGCTAGGGAGCACGCGGCTTCTGTTAAAGGAACATCGGCAGGACATCTTTCTGCACGTTGCCGGTCCTGCAAGTGCTCTCCTAATTTTAACATCACCATTATAGGGCGGCACCGGAACGCATATGCACGTGAACTAATTGAAGCTCTGGCCATCGAAGACAGTGCTCAACTGTGCGTGAGCACCCCCCGTCTATCATAATCCACCCAAAAGAAAAACAATACTTGGGACGTGGCACGAGCCGCATAACACCCTGATGGGGGTTATGCGGACATGGCAGATGGCTGTCATCACTAGCTGTAGTAAAGGGAAAAAAAAAAGAAGACGAAGTATTAAAGGCAGCAAGTTGATAGTCAGCGGTGTGTATGTATTTCCTCTCACGGGTTTTTCTAATTTGTAATTGTTCAGCTGACCATATTCAAGAAATGAGGAACGTGCTTTCGTTCCTGTTTTGGATTAACTGCCTTCAGTTGTCTTTCGTTATTGGTTGTCTCTGTGTTACGCAGGTAAATAAACTTCCATACGTTATTTTTTAATTATAAACTTACATATAGATATTTTTTTTAATTTCACCATGAAGGCGGTCGAACCGATGCTGTTCCTCTTAACAAAAAAGTCTGACACTGAACTTAGCTTACCTGTCAAAAAAAAAAAAA